ATCCCACTGTTGCATATTTTTATAGAGCAGGTGTTGAGTGTTTTATTGGTAATAATGTGACATACTTCCTCTATACCGTTTTTTAAATCATACTCTGATAAAATTTATATGTGCCTATATATATTATTGTTTATTTGGGGGTATAGAAGGGGGTGTTACATTTTCCGTTTACCGCCGGATTTCTGGAGCTTAGAACAGGAGGGAGTTGGCGCTCTGCACGTTGGGAAACGATGTCCAAATTTACTTACGTCCTGGTAGTTTTAGGGAAAGTTGTAGCAGAGTGGTCTAATTGGGATATTCTGAGGGGTGTAGTATCTTGTAGGGTTAAATTTGCGGTATTGTAATATTACTTCCTGAGGGATAACCGTTGTGTTACATAGCGAGAGCTTCTTGCCGTTGTTTGAAGATGTTTGTAAATAATCAATGGAGACATGTGGACCTTGTTGTATTTGTAACTTGTGGATTCAAAGATAAATTCAAAATTCGAAGTAATTTTTCTTTCTTGCGGTATCTTAGATTTCTTCAACTCTCTTACTTTGAAAGAATCACGGTAGAACAGATTTGAAAATGAAGTAAAAAAGAAAGTCTTTGAATTTTAAGTGGCTCCCGCATATTAATTCAATTTATGGTCTCGAATTACCATGAGCTGCCTTAGACATCACAACCTATCCCTTGAACACGATGGACTTTTGTATTCTGATTCATGCCTGATTCCATTAAACCATTCTCCTTAAAAACTTCAGTCCACAACTTCTAGTAACCTTTACCACGCCACACCGACATTCTGAGGTCTTGAAAGAAGCATCTATAGATCCTCATGTTGCCACATTAACATCCTGTTTAAATTGCTCTGCCTGTCAGAGAAGTCCTAAAAAAAACAAGGTGGTCCTGCACATACTCGTTAGTCATGATAAACACGTATACAAGGGTGAAAGATTCAAACGTGAGAAAACGAACAAGAAGGTGGAATCTTAAGGTCGAAAATTAGGGTGTGACAATAGGATCGATTCTACTCGAGAATCGAGCACATCAAAATACCTCACACCCGCACAATAGGATTGAAGCCAAAGAAATCAAGGTCCCGAACCGAAGTTCGGATGCACATGAATGCATGATGCACACGTCAATAATCATCCTCATAATAACATCATAGGTGCATCATCATTCATCATAATCATCATCATCAAAAATCATGTCATCATAGAATCATCAAAACTCATGGAAATATCATCATAGTTCATCAATCATTACTTCATAGGAATCATCATATAATCATGTACAAATCACATAGAATTCACAGTTATACTCATATTCATTTGTCAAAGAAATCACAACATCAAAACATCAAGGCATCGCTGCACACAATCAGAATTCGCGAAACTCTGCTACGTTCGCTAGCAAGTTCGCTGTGCGAGTCTGGGACGAGTTTCTTCGCTATGCGAAGGATTATTCGCAGTGCGAGTCTGGGACGAGCTTTGTTTGCTGTGCAAAGGATTCTTCGCTGTGCGAACACACGATGACAACAAAATGCTATTGTGCACCAGAACCTAAAATCAACCCAAAAGTCCCACAAGTCACTTCCCCGATAACCCAAAAGCATCCCTAAATCATCCCTAAGGTCTTACGGCGATAAAGACACAAAATCTATGACTTATTAGGCCAATCCCGTATCATATTCATGCTCTAAATCTCATAAATCCTTACAATTACACCACAATCATTATATTTCCTCATTATCAAATTTCCCTACAAGGTTAGACAAATGTCAAATCAGAGCTTTGGCCACGAAGACCTAATTTCCTTTAACCCAAATAAATCCCTACGGTTAAAATCTCAATAATAGATTTAGCCCACGAAGTCCAAATTCCCTTTATCCCATAATCAGCCTCAAACCCTTTAAACCCTTAAATCGACCTTAAATACATTGAAATTACACATTGAAAACAATGAAGGCAATACTCCCCATACTTTAATTGCCAACTCTAAGCCTTCTCAAATCTTTCAGAAAACCTTTCGAAGCTTTTGCCTCAATTCTTCTCACGGTCTAAAAAAAATGAATCTTAATCCCATTACAATTCCCTTTTTGTTAAACATAACCTTGGGCCTATAATTTGGGCTTTTCCAATATTACCCTCACTAACTCCTCCTCAATTGTCCAATTTGCCCTTAGTTAACTTATATTTATTTAAATTAATAGTAATACTAATATATTTATATTATATACTACTATTTAAATAAATAACCCAAATTCCATAATTCTCAATATTCCTCAACAACCACCGAAAATCACCGAAATGTGAATATTCTTATTTAAATAAATTAAATAAATATTCCAATTAAAATTTGGGGTGTTACAGGGAGCATGGTGGATGGACTCACACTTGAGAGGGAGATTATTGGGAAACAAGTGTGAGTTGTGTTGAGAAATAAGTGTGAGTTTTAAGTATCACATTGCTTAAAAAATGGAGGTTGAACACTTTATAAGTAAGATGACCCATACACCTATCACCTTAAGATTTTAGGTGAATATGTGGTGTCTCTCTCTCACTTGTTTGGGTGAATCTTTGACCTTTAGGTGAGTGTTTGACCAAATGTGTATGCTTTCCCCTCATGATGACCCATCATTACTGCCATAACTAGTACGAAAGAGACAATATAAGGTTAAGATTTGGAGTAAATTTTTAAACCTACTCTTGAAGATAATATAATCATTCTCATATATAATCAAGTTGACTCATGAACCTAACGAGTTGAGCTATATATAATTCAAGTTCAACTTATTTAATTAACGAACTTAATTTTTCGCTCATATTTAGCTCATTTGGTTCATGAATCTAGTTCAATGATTTAATTGTCGAATCGAATTTCGAACTAATTTCGAGTTGGTTTGGTTCATTGTCAGCCCTAACTCAAGATAATACAAGCAATCTTTCGCAACACCTTGTAGTGAGAATGGAAAGACTCTGAGCTTGACATGATCTTTGGTAATTCCTTGAGACCTCAATGATGTAGAACACACAACCTAGAATTATTTCAAATGCTTATACTGATCCTCACCTGCAAGACGACTAAACCTTGACAACAAGTGTATTAAACCAGATTTCAATTTGAAAGGTGCAACAACTTCAGAATACTCAATACAAAGTGCATTATAATTCATATATGGAGCAACAAATTCTCTTAAAGTTCTTTGTTCAGCCATATTATAATTAAAGAAAACTCAATCAGAATCAAACAAATTATGGGAGAACACAGAATCAGAATCACTAGTAATCATGCATCATGAGTCAGCAATGCAACAATTATGAAAATATCAACAATGTCTCTAATAAGAAAAATAGTTGAAAGGTAAAAACAAAATTGATAAATAAGCAAAATTGATAAATAAGGAAAAAATTAAGGTAAAAGCAAATTATTTAAAATGAATGTCATTTTTATTTTTTAATATAGAAATAATTATTGTTTTTTCAATTATATCTTTTAAGTATTATTATATATATTATTTTCAATATACTAATAAAATAAAATTAATTTAATGAAAATATAATATTTTATAATAATACTATTGTATTTCTCAATCAGTTAATTATTTTAAGTCGAAGAGAGCAGGGTAGAGCTACCTGTTAGTGTATTAGTGAGGGGCTTCAACTGCACCAGGGGTTTTTCCATAATAATACACCTAAGAATCTTATTTTATTCTATCTTGACCCCTTAATATTTTAATTTTGCACGTTTAACCCAAAGGTTTGTGAATTGTACATTTCTATTTCAATGACAAACATGTCCCAAATTATAAATCACTTTGTCAAAAAATTTGTCTCGAATTATAATTCACTTTACATTTTTAATGTAATATTAATGACATTTTTTCTAATATACCCTCAAATATTTATTATTATTTTTTTCCAATTCTTTTAATTTCTCTCATGTGTGATTATGAGAAACATTACCGTAAAGTCATACATAATTTGTCTTTCTCATAAAGTAATAATTAAATTTCTTAATTTGTGTGAAATGCTCAAAACATCTTATAATTTGGGATGAATGAAGTATATTTTTTATGATAAGAATAGTTTTTGTTTTTATTAAGATCACTATTATCATTCGTAATTTATTTTGACTTCGTTTTGTATTCTAGATGTATTCATTTATATATTGTATTTGATAAGTGTATGGTTTAATTTATACAAAATTTACTATGATAGTATAAGTATAATACATCGTCTATCACGTTAGTGTATCTTTAAGACAAAGTCAAAATTTGTTGTTTAATTTGAGCACGGAAATGCATTTTCACATTCTATCGGGGTGAATATGGAGATACACCACTATATCAATTTATGTCAGAATGAGAGTGTTTCAATAAGGAATGAATGAGTGTGTATGCGGTGAATTACGAAGTGCATCTCCAAACTAAATTTTAGAGAAAAAAAAGAGTGAAACTTATTTTAAAATGTGTTTTAGTATAAAAAAAGTGTATTTAAAATGCACTTTTAAAATTTTTCAAAATTTAACAGACACTTTAAAATTTATTTAAAGTGTTTTTCCACTATTTATGGCGGAGTAATCGATTTCCAAAATTAGAGGTGTATGTATTAAATATGCCCCCAAACCAAAAAATTGAAATAAATTGTAAGCCTAAAAATAGTTGAATTCTATAAACCAATCTCATTTAGTAAAACTCATGTTTGCAAAAATAAAATTATAATTTAATTCCTTTTAACGGAATCATGTTTATATTAAAAAATAAATTTTAAAAAGTAGTAACCATAGCCCTTTTATTGTTGAGTGATTAGACTTATGGGACCTTTGTATGAATTTTAATAGAGTTTATGGCATATCCAATCGCAGTTCATTAAATTAACTCAAATGAGCAACTAAGGATGCCCAGAAGATTAAAATATGTCAAATCAAAATGTCATTACATGTCTCAAAGTTGATCGGCCATGATGTTTTAGGGACCATAATACATGCTTAGAGAGGAAGAGCATTCTCAACTCTCAAGCATAGGGATCTAGGCCCCAAGCCTTGGCCGGTTGATTAGTTCGATATTTCTTCTCCATATTCCTGATGAGATTCTCGTCCTCTTCAGAGAGCACAAAATCAAATACCTGAAAGTTCTCTTTCAATCTCTCTATTTTCGATGTTTTAGGAATGACAACAATGTTCCTTTGAATCCCCCAGCGAAGAACAATCTGGGCAACAGTCTTTTTGTGTTTTTCAGCCAGATTCTGAAATCAAATTGGTAACACAATCGGCGACCCTCAAATTAGTTACTGCTTTTGGATACACAATAAGTTGAAGATAATATGATTATAGACAACTTACTTTGAGAGCTTGGTCATCTAAACACGAAACTGTGCCAAACCGTTCTGTGTTAGCTGCAGCACCTCCCAGTGGAGTGTGAGCGGTTACACAAATTTCATGTTTTTGACAAAATTTGACGAGAGAGTCACGCTGGAAGTATGGATGCGTTTCGATTTGATTCACAGCAGGCTTTATCTTGGAGTATGCTAGACAATCTCTAGTCAGAAAGATGTCATAGTTGCTGCAAACAATTCTCAAGTCAATACTACTCAACAATTATGCCTAAATAAAAATCCAATACATAAAAATGAAAAAAATAGTAGCTAGAGTGTTGAAAATATATGTACAAGTCAATGATAATAACGATGGATATTGCATAGTCAAATACGACACACTGTGAAAAAGATAATAATTTAAATAAATAAATTAATTAAATTTGATTATAAGAGTTAATGTAGATATTCAACTTTAACGCGGACACACACACATATATATATATATATATATATATATATATATATATATATATATATATATATATATATATATATATATATATATATATATATATATATATATATATATATATATATATATATATATATATATATATATATATATATATATATATATATATATATATATATATATATATATATATATATATATATATATATATATATATATATATATATATATATATATATATATATATATATAAACAAACATTGACGTATTTTTTTGAGAGACAGAGTTAAAAAAGTTATTTTAGTTTATATTTTAAATATGAATTTTTAAAATATAGATTTAAATAAAATCATATCATTAAAATATCAAAAATATAATTTTGTTTAAAATCATATTACTCCCTCAATTTTAATACGAGTTTTGTTTTAAAGAAAAAAATTATTTAAAAGGAATATCATTTTTATTTTTAATATAGAAACAATTATTGTTTTTTCAATTATATTTTTTAATTATTATTATATATATTATTTTCAATATACTAGTAAAATAAAACTAATTTAATGAAAATATAATATTTTTATAATAATACTATTGTATTTCTCAATTCGCTAATTATTTTAAGTCGAAGAGAGCAGGGCAGAGCTACCTATTAGTTTATTAGTGAGGGGCTTCAACTGCACCGGTGGTTTTTTCATAATAATACACCTAAGAATCTTATTATTTTATTCTATCTTGACCCCTCAATATTTTAATTTTGCACTTTTAACCCAAAGGTTTATGAATTGTATATTTTTATTTTAATGACAAACATGACCCAAATTATAAATCACTTTACTAAAATATTTGTCTCGAATTATAATTTATTTTACATTTTCAATGTAATATTAATGACATTTTCTCTAATATACTCTCAAATATTTATTATTATTTATTTATTCAATTCTTTTAATCTCTCTCATGTGTGATTATGAGAAACATTACCGTAAAATCATACATAATTTGTCTTTCTCATAAAATAATAATTAAATTTTTTAATTTGTGTGAAATACTCTAAACGTCTTATAATTTGGGATGAACGGAGTATATTTTTTATGATAAGAATAGTTTTTGTTTTTATTAATAGGACTAAGAATCTAGAGCAGTGTTTCCTATTTATAGACTCTCTCTGTCCTAAATTATAAGATGTTTTAGATATTTCACACAAATTAAAAAATATAATTTATTTTATGAAAAAGTGAAAGGAATTATGACTTTACAAAACTGTCATTTATTAATTATATTAAAAAGTAGATTAAAGGAATAGGAAGAAAAAAGAGAAATAAATTATAAAAGGTATACAAAGCTGTCTTTGAGGGCGTGAAAGACGACCTACAACACAAAGCCTCACATTTTTCATGATTAAACTATGTCTAAAAGGGTTTTCATACACATAATTCACAGTTAAACAGAACCTCTTAAAAATAACATAGACTAAAATGAAATTAACTTTAAATTTTTACACATGACTCATATTTTTCATGATTAAATTATGCTCAAAAGTTGTAAACTGAGAGTATATTAGGAAAAAAGTCATTAATATTATATTAAAATTTTAAAATAACTTATAATTTAAGACAAATATTTTTTTGTAAAGTGCCTTATAATTTAGAGCAAATGTGATATTATTAATTGATTCTCGTTAATAGCCTAATTGGGATAAAAGACTAGAAGTAGAACCAATAAAAAAATCATGCAATAATAATAAAAATAATAATTATATATATATATATATATATATATATATATATATATATATATATATATATATATATATATATATATATATATATATATATATATATATATATATATATATATATATATTTATGAATTCATTAATAATAGCTGTGAGTCTAAAAAATTTACGTGGAATCTCAAATGTTAATGTAAATAAAGTAAACAGTCATGTACGTAGGAAAAATAACCATTTTTTATTTATTTAATATGATTGTCTGATTTAATTTTATTATTAGTTTTTAAATTTATATTCGATGTCAACGGAATATATATAATCGTTAAAGAAATCTGACTCAGGGTCATGTCCTGGCTCCGCCGTTGGTGGGCATATTTTAAGTTTTTTGTGAATAATAAATAGTGAAATAATGTTGGTCTCTCGATCTCAAAGCGCCAACAACTTATCAAGATTGGTTGGGTTTTATCTTTCTTCATTTTGTCATATCCAAATGAATAGGTTAAAAAAAAACTCATCACACAAACTTTAGTCATAGAAAAGCATCTACTAGAAGCGATAAGAAAGATGGTTGCAGCACAAAATTAGACCTGATCCCTATGCTGCGAACCAGGCCCGATGAAACAAGACCTTCCATTGCATGCCATGTAGTTTCTAAGGATATGGTTGTATCTATGTCCAGAACACCATCTTTATCCAAAGCACTACGCGTAGTACCAACCCCTGCACGCGTGAGGAATATTATAGTATTAAAAAGCATACAACAGATTTGACTAAAAATAGACATACTTTTGTTATTATTATAGACATAGTATATAGAGGATTGCTATTTATACCTGTATAAGTGTTATTTTAAGTGTCATTGTAACATTACTCTAGTATAGAAACAAAACATACCAGTGTGCTTTGTGGCTACGGGAAAGTGAACAAGATATAGATCCAGATAATCTAACTGAAGCTTCTTAAGACTATCTTTACAAGCTTCAACAACGTGTCCATGGTCAGAGTTCCATAGCTGAAATCATATTCAAACATCATATACCATCATCATTAAACAAATCAATATAATACACAACATTTATTGTAAAAATATATAACCTTAGTAGTAATGAAAAGGTCCTCCCTCTTCACAAGTCCAGCGTCAACAGCTTCTTTAAGAGCTACTCCAACTTCAGTTTCGTTCTTGTAGTCAGCTACAGCACATTCGAATCTCGTCAATGAGATAAAAATCCAAGTACATTTCCAAATCTGAAAGAGTAAAAAGAAAGAAAAATTACCAGCACAATCAAAATGACGATAACCGATTTGGATTGATTTGATAACGAGATCTTTGATTTCTTGTTTATTCATTCGCCAAACTCCAAGTCCAATTATTGGCATGTTGAAGCCACTGTTCAGTGTTATCTCCATTTTTCCTTCTTTCTGGCACTGCGAATAACTCTTCATTCACCATGGTGGCTTTTATAATACGGGCCTCAATTATTGGACCACTGTTTCTTTTTTAATTTTTTTTAAATATCACTCATCAGAAAGTTCTCCACTGTGGCTATAAATTAAAAGATAGTTACACCAAAACTTATATCAACACCATATTTTCATACTATACATCCTACTTTTTGGTTTTGTTTATTATTTTTATGCAAATTGAAACTTGTGGTTGTGTCATTATAGCACTCCTCAAATTAAAATTAGTTTTTTAAAAGGGTAATGCTAAAAAAGTTAATTAATATAAACTATTGATAAAGGACAAAGGACAATTAAGTTTCAACTTCACCTACATTGAATGATTGTTGTTAATAAAAGTTACTGCAATCATTTTGTATCTACTTGACGATATGCATAAAGCTATCACTAATGAGAAGAATGTGATATTAAGAGTCGTGAACAACAAGACCAGTATAACAATGTATCTAGAAACAATAGGGTAACTCATATCAGAAATTATCATCTATTTTTCACGACCCTGCATACCAAAGCCATCAACCTGCAATGTACTCCTAACTTTCGGCACAGTGTCATAAAACAAATTGGAATACAATTGATGGTGTTGATAAACTTCAGTATCTAACTGCGTTAGAATGAAAGGCCGTGACTCTTCGCCCCATCTAAGTAAATATGTTATAGCCTGAAAACCACAATTTCCACCGTCTTTCACATCAACAATGTCATCAATGTACTGATGCAAGAAAACAGGAAATTAAGACAAATATTTTAGTTTTGAAGACACGTTACACGATTGACTTTCAATTGGTTTTCTACATGATCTCTTTGTACTTTGACTTCCATGTGAGCTCTTAGCATGCTCCCACTGTGAAGGATCACAATGCACATCACTCTCTTCACCCTTTTTACTCTTCTTAGTTCCCTTCTTTAGCTTTTACTTCACCGGTGGTGGATAAATGGAAGTTTTGGATGGAAGTGTTAGTTCCCAAACTTTGTTCTTCATCGCCCTTTGGCCTACAATATTCAATGTACCAAAATATTTCTTTATCTCTTCACACTCTTCTTATAAATCCAATTGTGTTCCACTATCTTCTTTAGTGACCTCATGCTCTTCAATAAATATTTTTTTTCTAAAAGTCATGTATCTAGTCTAACGGGATATACTCTAGTTGTAATTGATACCCTTCAAGTTCACATGCACAAGGTAACTCATGAGTTGTTTTAATGAAGTCATCGCATGTTGTTTTGTCACAACCAACAAATTTTATCCTTTCTAACTCCTATTTAATGTGTTGTATACATTGTCTTGAAACAAAGTTGTTCAATCTAGAGTAAAATGAAGTGTTATACGGATGCTCAATGTTTCATACACTTTTATGAGATGACACTCTAATTGAACCTAATTGCAGCTTCAACATGGTGTTAACCACATCCCAACTTCTACATAAATCTTTCAAGCTACTGTTTACCGTTCAAATTGGCAAACAAGCACTAGTCTTTCAAATTATATAATTTTTAGTTACTTGCAGGATCAACTAGATTGATCCTAGGGCATGTGCTTTTATTTTTCTTTAAGTTTTATTTCTTATGAACATTTTGATAATGTTCTTTCGATTTGTTAAAAATAACATTACAAATCGTAAAGAAATGCAGAAATTTAAATGACTTCAGAGTAAATTTACAGCAAACTATAAAATATAAAATCTTAAATGATTTTATAAAAAGTGTTAATATGGTGGTCACACGTACATTGCACTCAGGAAACTCGTTTCTCAATAACACAGATACTTTGAGTAATATTTGAGTTTTTTTGTACAAGATTGAACACATGAATCATAATCACTAAGATTTTTATTTATACTAAATCGAAAATAACGGTAAAAACGATTTCTTCTTTAGAAGATGCCACATTTTCGATTGCATGCACTTCGCTATCTATAGCTTTCAACGTGTCTTCTCAAGAAACGGATAAGGCCAAAAAATAGTTATTAGCCTCATTTTGAATTATGCTCGTCGAACGCCACTCCAAATGAACTTCGTCAAACTTAAGTTTGAACCAAAAATATTTCTAAGTCCCAGACCAAATTCTCCTTCTATGCAAAGAGTCTTCTTCGCCTAGGTCCTCATCATCTTTTCGTCGAAGTTAACATATTCTTTTCCAGAATATCTCTTTAGGTTCCATTGATTTACTTCAAATATTCATGAGCGTCAAAATTCCAGCCAACAAATTTCCCCCAAAAAATGTCATTTTCGAGTATATGGAGAAAAAGACATTTTTCGAAATGTTTTAACGCTACAACATCTTTACTACTATGACGTCATGGTCATTATGACCATGTTTCTTCAGACGTCTCATCGAGACGTGCAAAATCCCACTTTAATCATCATACTCCTATTTCCTAAGAGATCGTGGGTCACCCCAACTGTCACCGTCTAGTCAATCTTTCTCCGATCAACACGCTGTTGCACCCCAAAATTTGCTCAACCTCTTCTTGCCTGATTTATGTTTCATTGCATTTCATTTGCATAGTTACATCATGTACATAGTTCAATCATTGGCATATCATAGCATAGCATGCCTCCAACAAGGGATCAAGGGTGTCTATCAAGAGAAGAGCCTAGCAAGAGGTGTTATCCAAGATTGAGAAGTCATCCAGGCCATCAAGAAGTGATTTGAAGTCTTGAGAAGTTTGAGTGCCTACATATGGGTTTTGCTCCTATCTTGAGGAGTATTGAGAATCATCAGTGGGGTGTGAAACATGGAATGTGAATTTGAGGTGTGTATGGATCTCATGGAATGCCTAGAGGGCCATATTGAAGCTGAGGCAAGTCATTGATTCAAGTATGAGAGCCACAGTTGAGGTGCAGTCAACTAGGGTTTCATCTGGGTCAACCCTAATTCAATTGAGTAGTTGGAGAGCATCAAAGCCTACTTTGAGGTCATGGGATTCATGGATTGGTATTTTGATACATGTGTGGTGTTGTGCCAAGATTAAGCAAAGAAGAATCAAGAAAGTGGGGAGTTGCTAAATTAGGGTTTTAGTGTAAAATCCCTTGTTTAGTGCCTAACTTCAAAGCCACATAAGTCAAAATACAAGTTTCAAATGGATCTTTGGCCAACATGAAACTTGTATATATTCTCAATACCTTTAATTTGAGTATTAGAAGTCTTCAAGAAGATTTGTAGAACTCAAGTTATGGTTCTTGCAAATTACAGGTCATCAGAGGACTATGAAATTTATCTGTGAAAGTCACTTGACTTCCAAGCAACTTTTTCCCTTCAAGGAGTTTTCAAATGGATTCTTGGCCAACATAAGAGTTGTAGATATTGATCTCAGATTTTCATAGAGTACTAGAAGTCCTCAAGAGGATTTGTAGAACTCAAGTTATGGTCTTTGCAATCCAGGGGTATTTTGGGTATTGGTGATTATAGGTCATTCTCAAGCATGGGTTAAAATCTCCAACTTAGAGGCCTCAAATGGAAAATTGTTTAACTAGAAAGTTGCTCAAAACAGGGTTTTAACCTTGACCATGCATCAAGGAGGCTTTGAATTGGCTCATAGGAGAAGTTGGCTTGAAATGGTTTTTAAATGAAGAAATTAAAGTCATTTTAAAAGGCAAAATTGTGATTTCTTGATTTTATGGCCAAACAAGTCCATGTTATATACCAAATTGATCAGAAAACATGTTTTGGAAAGGATGGCAATATTACTTTTTTGATTTGAGGTCATTCACACATGGTTCCCTTTAATACCTTAAGGTTGAAGTAACATAACCATCACACTCCATAAGATTAAAAACAAGGAGAATACACATCCAATTCAGTTCTAAATATCACAAGAGGATAAATTCCAATGAGTGTAAGAGCCAGAACAGAGCAAAGCATGATTTCCACATATGAGATTTTCAAGGAATGTGAGAAATTGAATTTCTCATTCAGGTTGTTACAGAAGTTTCTAGAGGGTTCTATTAGCTTCTATATAACATATGCATTGGATTCAGATAGTTTTTTGGGAGGAATTGAGCAAGGAATCAGAGAAAGCCATTGAAAATTCTCAAGCTGCATCAAGAATCGGGTTTTGGAATTGAAGAGGATTCAAAGCAAATTGTCCATTGGAGAAGCTTTAGAAGTGGTTCTTGAGTGATTCTGCAAAAGATTGGAGGTTGAATCGTGCCATAACCTCATCTGTTCATCCATTTTCACCAGGTTTGCATTCTTCAAATTTCAGCATATTTGGTAGTGATTTGCTTAGGTTTTGATGCATGGTTAGGTTAGTGTTGATGCTTAGGTGGATTTAGGCACAAATTTGGGATGATTAGAGACACTTTAGGTTGTGATCAGAATTCTGTTGAGAGGAATATTGTGAGATTCTTGAGGCTTTAAGCATGGCTGAATGGTGAGAATTGATCAGGGAAGCATGTAGATGAGTTTAGGATCTTTAATTGCAAGAATTGAGTTGATCAAGATTTAGTGATTTTTCTGCAACTTCTATCGGGTTTTGAGTTAGGGCTAAAATCAATGGAAATGGAGGTCATATTCATGATCAAGATGAAATTTCAGGTGGTATAGGGTATCTAGTTGCAAGGATTGATGAGGTTTTGGGATGTCTTCACCGGAGAAGATGGTGGCGCCAAGCTCAGGCCACCGTCTGAGCATTTCCCCCTCAGTTTCAAATATTTGGGGACGATGACCCAGGGCCCTCAGATCATGCTTTGACCCTTGACTCAAACCAAATCCAATGGCCACGATTGAATTGAATTTCTGAAGAGAATTGAGAAGGAAACCTCAATGCTGTGTTTCATTAAACGCTATTGGGTGGGCTTAAGTGAGCCCTTGCTAACCACACCTCCATTCAGGCCCAAGTTGGAATTACAACGTGACTTAGTTGCTATTTGACACAGGTTTTTTCCATTTTCCTTTTCTTTTTCTGAGTTGGTTTAATTTGGTTTGGGCTTAGTGACTGAAT